TCCTATAAAGTAAAGCTTCACTAGGCAACTCTAATGGGATACGGGAAACAACTTTTATCCGCAACCTTCTTGTTGTTCAAGATCTAGATCTTGGTCTTCCTGATCTGAAATGGTTAAATAAGGGGAATGAGTTATATTAACCCAGTAAGAATATCACACTTAACACTGATACGTGAAACAACCAATGGAGTCATTATTTCTTTTTAAATAAATTCATTTAACATAAAAACCGTTATTTTTATACTTACCCGTATGAGTTTCCAAAACCTATGAAGACAATAACTAGGATAACACTTTATTACTCATCTAAATGAATGATAACAGTAGACTTACCTTCTTACTCGCTTACTAGTACTTCTGAGGGTCTATAGGTATCCCCTTACTCGTGGACCCAATATCCAATTTATCATTTAACTGGCCATCCCTATACCCTATCTAGCAATGGGCGTCAAACATACTACCGCCTCAATACCCCGTCTGGTATGAGAGTGAACTATACCTCCTAACCCTTCTGGTATGGAACTTTACAGTCCTGTTCGACTGAGGTAATATCCACGGTAGGATTTTTTTTATACATCGGGTTCGTCCACCCTTCCCCAGGGTACCCGATAAACCTTTCATACATATGTCCACATCATCAACCAATCACCCATTACATACCAATATTTTATATTTATAAATCAACAGTAAGTCATGCAAATAGACAATACAAAAATTAAAAAAACGTGATTAGGGCATTTGCTTCAAATCAATCAATAGGTGAGACTAATCAGCCAAGCAATCAATGAACGAGAAAGTAATTTAAATCAATAAATAATAGCAATTCAAGCAGTATATGAAAAAATAAACAACACAGCTATAATAAATATACAATGACTGGTTCGGGCTCCACTGGTGAACTGTAATAAATTTAAGAATTTTTAATTTTTACAAAACACATTATTATTAATTATTAAACTTTAATTTACCATAACATGAGAAAATGGTGATGGATTCTTACTCCAGATTTGTGTTTGAAACACTTTCTTTTTTATTGCACCTCCTGGCGATTCTCAGGTCCTGGGTTTTTCATACGAAAATTAAAAACATGAGTTACGTATTTCAAAATACTCTAAAAAGGGCAAAATGAGCATTTTTAATTTTTTCGACCGGTTTAGGTTTTCGGGGTGACGCTGTCATCGAACTCTAGCGCTGGCTCCGCCGCCCACGGTGCCGCTTCCTCTTGGTCTGGCTGTTTTTAGTCGGTTTTGGCCAGTTTTGGCCAGTTTTTCATGGAAATTTGTAAAAAAAAGGGTTAAGGAGCCTCTATCAGCCGAAAAATGGAAGAACTAAGACCCTACTAGCAGAGGGGTTTTCTGGTGCGGCAGCTCCACTGTTCTTTTCTTGCGGTCAGGGCTTCCCTTTGGCTAACCTGCAAAAGAATGAGACGAGGAATACGAAGGTCAAAAAAGTGACAGAAACATAAAACGGGAAGGGGCTCATCAGAGGAGTTTTCAGGTCGCAGCATCGGCAGCTCGGCCGAGCTCCACTCACATTTTTTTGCTCACCCTGTGGCCTTTTAGCTCCGATATGGGTGTGAGGAGGTTCAAAATTCAAGTTCGAATAGAAAGGGAAAAACTTTTACCTTTTCGGTGTCAACAGTGGCTTCAGTGCGACGACGACGATGGCCAGTCTTCTTCTCCAGCGACTGGTTTGTTTTTTGGCTGCCCATTTTCTTCTTCTCTAATCTCCTCTCTAACGGCTAGGGGAGTTTAAATACTCTTCTTCATTAAATTTGGTCGTCCATTCAAGGAGACCTAGTCCATCCTCAGCCATTGGATCGCTTTTATTTGGAAAATTAATCTAGGTCGCACGATTTGATCAAATTCAGGTATTCGATTGTGCCTGAAGAGAAAACAGATCTAAGCCATTCGTGGGCGCGGGATGCGATCTAGGCCATTGGGTCCGCTAGCACGCGGATCGCCCATGTGGACGTATGTCCATGTGTCTGTCATGCGGCGCATGGAGACCGGCCGCGCTATTGACGTGGCGGTCCACGTGACCAAAATTTCATTAATTTTATTTTTATCCCAGTTTTTCATATTTTTTTTTCAAATAAATCCTCCCTTATTTTTACTTTGGTCTTGATTTTCAAAAATATTTTCAAATGCATTTAAAACCCAATTTTCTTCAAAAATTCACAAAAAAGTTTAAATATAAATTATTTTAATTTATTATCCATTAATATTAAATTATCTCAAACCAAATTTTCGGGCGCAGATGTTACAACTCTCCACCCCTCAAGAACAAATTTGGTCCTTCAAATTTGCTACTCTCTCACTAGTTAAACAGTGGGGGTACTGGATCCTGAAGTTTGATTCTAGCTTCCAAGTAGACTCATCCTTCGAGTGATTCTGTCATAAGATCTTGACGAAGGAAATTTCTTTATTGCAAAGCACTTTGCACTTCCAGTCCAAAATACCTACCTGTACTTTCTCATAGGATAGATTCTCTAGGAGTAGAAGTGGCTCATTATACAAGATATGTGAGGGGTCCAGATTGTACTTGCATAGTATAGACACAAGAAATACATTATGAACTCTGAATAGATTTGGAGGTAGTACTACTCTGTAGGTGGATGTATCAACCATGTCCAAGATCTCAAACGGTCCGATGAACCAGGGGTTTAACTTTTCCATCTTTCTAAACCTTCTGATACCCTTAAAGGGGATGACCTTAAGAAACACTCGATCGCCCTTCTCAAATTTCAAATCTCTCCTTCAAGTGTCCGTATAACT